GGAAGTCTACCCTGCTGAGTCAACAGTCCCAGTCCCCAGTCAGTCAAGCAAGTACCGCACGGGACTGTGTGCACTTGGGGCAAGGGAAATGGGCCAGACCAACGACCTGCAGAAGTATAAATCAAGAGGCAGCGCCCAGCCATTCATTCATTCCTGCGTGAGCCATGCGGAAGCGCTGCCACAGTGACTTGTGCAAGGAGGTCTGCAGTGAGCGAGAGAGGAGGAGTTAGCATAGCGATAGGTTAGAGGCAGCCATAGCTGCCATAGCTGTAGTAAGTGGGAAGAGTGTGTGTGCCTGTGTGAGTGTTCAAAGTGACGTGTGTGGGATATCCAGGGTGATCCAGTGTGTGAACAGTGAGTTGTTTGGGCGCTAAGGCGCCATAGCCAGTTGAAAGAGAACTCGTATCTGGAAGCCATATCTCTGAGTTCCGAGTGGGCGCATGTCGCCAGTGTGCTGTGCTGCTGTTTACATACATGAAAAGTGTGAATAAGACGAGTCTGATTGCACCAGTGCCCAAGGCTGATATTACAAAAAAGAAGATTGAGGCCGGGGTCCTCACAGTCTACCTGGAGTGACCGAACCGAACTTGCTGAGAACCGGGCTCAGCGTCCCTCATATGATGGTGATGATGATAGCAATGATGATGATGATGATGCTGATGATGTCCCTCCCTGCCTGTCAACAAAAACAGAAGCAACAACACTACCTCTTCATCCAATCCCGAACGCCAGATATACCTGTTGAAGCTAGTAGTGTTTATTCTAAAATCCATACCAAGAGCTGGGAACAAGGGCTGATGCTGGGGAAGGGAAAGGATCCAGAAATTGTGATAACGGACGCATGGGAACAGGCTCATCAAAAGTAGTCCATTCATCAAAAGCCAATTTGTAGTCTCTTTTCAGACCCATATCATCTTCATTCCCAGCCCCATTCCAAGTGACCCAACCAATTTTCTCACCCTGGTTTCCGCCCAGCCATTTACGGCTGAATTTACGAAAGTGACTTTGGATTTCTGTTTTGTCTGAGAGAAATTGAACTCTTTCTTTTGTTCGTTCCCATTCGCTTAATATGTTTGTTTGAATTTGTTGTTTGATATTATCTGTGAATTCAGGACCATCTAGTCTTGCCCCTTCCCATTCATATGTGCATCTCTTCATCCATATAGCCCACATCACCGCTCTTCTCCCCATATTGAAYAGGTTTTCCAYGAAAAMCCCATCATTACCAACTAGTTCTRGGTCCGGGTTCCAGGTCTCCARAAGAATAACTTTCCAACTCCATGGCCAAGGAACCTGTGGGACTAAACGTGACCAGATTCGATCCCACCACCTCCAAAGCCATACTGAGCCCGGACATTGCATAAAGATGTGCTCTATAGTTTCAGGGTAAGTTCGACTTGGGAGAGCAGTTTTGCATAACTTACACCATCTTTCAGCTAGTCCCTTCTGTTCCAGCGAGGTTCTGTCAATCAACCAGTCATTGACTGGTAGACACCTATGTTCAATTTGCCATTGAAGTGAAGCGGTTTTGGCTGGTTTTTCCTTGACTGCTTTGAACCACCTGACAGACCTCAATTCTTCCTGACTAACATTAAGATGCTCTCTCCATCTGGAGGAAACCTTGTCTTTTAAGTTAATTCTAGGGCGAAGCATTCGGTAGGCTGATTTGACTTTCAGTGAGTGAATGGCCCTTTTGAAAGCTCTGTTATGCCTTCCTACTTTTATGATTGAGCTCCAAACCCAATTAGCCGGGTCGAGAGGGAGTTCCGATATAGGGCAGTCTGGTTTAAAGGCCACCCAAGAGTCTTTGGATCTGATTACCCTTATTCTGACTTCTGAACCCCAGGAAAAGATTCTCTTCCCCCCTGTTTAATTTTGTGGGGCAGCATTTCATCACCTTGCTACTATCTCCAGCTCTTCACAGCCGCAGACACTGTTTTTTTTCCCCCTTCAAAACAAACCATTAATTTATTACTCAAAAGAGGGGGCCCGGCTACCCCACATAAAGACTGGATCTGGGAGCTTTACCCAGTGTACAGTTATGCTTTTGAAGGGACCCCATGGGACCCGAAGAAGATATGCCCTTCAAAAAGTAATGCTTGGTGACGTGTACTATATGATTGTATTTCTCGAATCGCCGCATTAGAAAAACCATATGTGTAAAGGGATGCTCCGCCTTTCCTTGATTCTATGCACCGCCTGTAGCTGGACGTCCAATGTTCAGCTTGCAGCATGCGGCATCATGACGAGTCCATTATCGCTGGCGATGCCCATTGTTGTTTTGATCCTGGCCGACGACCAAAATTCCATTGGCTGTGGGTGCTTTCTGGGCACGGTCAACGCTATTCTCGGCACGCGGTTCAGGAACTGTTGCACTGAGAGTCCTCTGCTTTGTCTTCGGAATCCTTGCGATACCTGTCTTATCTCTAGAATGCATGTTACGTCTGTCGCCAAGTGCAGAGTCATTCCTAAGTCTTCGTCTGTGCATCATAATTATTTGAAAAAACTGCGCCTGTGACCGCTGCACAGTTCAGAATTCGCAGAAATAACAGTCCAGTGCAAGACTGGGCCGTGAACAGTTCGAAACAGCAAGAAAAATAGTAAACGATGCGTTCCACAGCCTACCCGTTCATAATTGGCAAGAACAGGAGGTGGCCTGGGCTAGTGGTACCTCCCTTTATCCCGTGGCCTGGCCTGGGAGCAGGTACCTGTAGCAGGCCCTCCCTTGTTTTTTGTTTTTTTAACTTTCTTTTTTCTTCCGTTTTTGGCTTCTGGCAG